TATGAATCAACTTTATAGTTTAAACACATAACACATCCAATATCCATATATTATACCATTTTTATTTACAAATATTATGATTAAGTCCTGGATTTCAATGAAAAGTGCATCTTTTTTGGGGGATGTCGTATGCGATGCTTAACAATCTACAAATGTGTWTCAAGTACTCCCTGTTCTAACTACAAACAAATTTTGGGACGTTTTTCCTTTATTTTTGCATTTTTAGCGGAATTTACATTTTGAATGAATTTTTTTATTTGTTAAAACATTTATGACCTATTTTTTTTTCTTTTAAAGGACATTTCCGTCTATTTTTAGAGCATATTTTTATGGTTTTAAGTACATTTTAATCCGAGCCTTGTATTATAATATTATCATTACAAAATACTGTCTAAGTAGGAATAACGATRACATTAATTTATGGTTATTTTAAATATTATTTATCTATTTATTTATATAAAATCACTTTGACTTTTAAAGGATTTGGTAACGATGATTGCTTTGGCATTATTGACATTAAACGAAACGTATTCAATTAGTAGTTCATGTTTATTGAATTTCATTCGGAACTATGGAGCACGCACCCAAAACTTACAAGTTTTTAACGATATCATAATTGAAAAATGTAACGTTATACAGTTTATGATAAATAATRAAACTAATGTAAGTAACAATTTTTACATTATAAAATATTTACAATTACACAATCAACACTAATCACAAAATAACAATGTCCAAAMWTTTTTTGAATATATACAACTTAAACAGCTTGAGGATGTCATTTTAGAGGGGAATTTAGCTGTAATCAATAAAATTGCTACAAATTACATTTCCGATAAATTTAGTAAAAAATAGGAAAAAAAATTATCTTCATATGAAAAAACAACAATAGATATACTATATAGTATATCAGTCAATCACTCAAACAATACTACATTTTTTTAATTCAATTTCAATCAAAACTACATATTCATAATCTGCAGCTACAACCAAATTTTTCAAATACAATACCTAAACAATTTTTCAACAGTAACATACAAAAGGTACCGACCCCTTCTGATTTCAACATCAACAAAAAACTTGAATTCACCTGTAACATACAATGCATTGACATTCTAATATCCAACACAAATACACAATGTTTTATAATAACTGTACGGGCCGGGAACGACACAATAATAGGCCGTGACGCCCGGTCACCAAATACTTCGCGYGCTACTCTCACACACCGACCGACCTGTGTATGTGTGTATATGTSTGTATAGCGACTCRATAGAAGTGGACGGGATCGCCGATCAAAACTAAAGAGTGCTAGTGTGTGGTGGTGTGTGTAGGTGTGTACGTATGTGTGGTGTGTAGACTTAAAACTAAAATAAAGGGTAACACAGGTTTTTGGTAACTAAGTTGCTGTAATATACAAATAATTTAAAATCCACAATATACAGCAAATTGTTGATGAGTAAGTAAAATAGTTTAACATAACTTATTAATGAGTAATAATTAATTTAACAATTCATTCGACGTCTCAATTTTCAGTGTCCAAATCTGTGAAAAAAATAAGATTAAAATTGTATATGCTCAAAAATTAATTTAATTAAATGATTGATATCCGAAATATATAAATACATTTCAAGATCTGACATATCGCATATAGTATTATTGACAATAACAACAAGCAAATTAGATTAGGTTTCAAAATTTTTCTATCTCATTTTCATGATATAAATCTTGTTATTTTTTGTGTATACGATTTT